GCAAACATCCCTGATGTGTTACTAGTGAAAATCCAGTTGTATCCCATCAAAAATAGTTCTATTTTGCACATAAACCATTGACAAACACTGACTTGAAAAAATATCGGAGGTAGTGATGGGCGATACCGAGTACTCGGTATTCGATACCATCGATACCACAAACAGCGGTATCGGTATCGATTACTGACGTAGTATCGTTCGATACTTGCACCCTTTTTTAAACGACTTGTTTAATTTCCCTTCTTGGTTGAATAATTAGACTTATAAACCACTAAAATAACTCTTAATATTCCAAATGTGGTGCGCCAAGTCATGTATAGAAAATATATTTTTTTACGTTTCGGGCTTTTGGTTTACTTATAGCTTTATTTAGGTTACATACAGTAATGTAAAATGTTTTTCCGCTGACCGGCAGGGATCGAAAGTAGCCGATACTAGCAATTTTAGTACTCACTTCCGGTATCGAAAATTGAAATTTTGTGTTTATTTTGGTATCGAAATAGGTATCGGTATCGGCCGATACCGATCTTAAAAGTATCGGTATCGGTATCGAATTAAAAATCCTGGTATCGCCCATCACTAATCGGAGGTGTGATGATCTATGCCTTGATGCTTTGCGCGCGTGGCAAGAAAACTAGACACCAGTCTGTCAGTCGCGCACATTGCGGTAATTATTCATTTAATCTTAGAAAATAAATAGTCCCAGTATTAAATTCTTTATTAATAAATGTCTATGAGTAAAATACGATATAGGAATAGTGTAGTTGTATAAGAAATTAAAATTCCTATAAGAATTCTTATAGGATATGATAATAGTGAAAAAATTCCTATAAGAAATAGAAATTCCTGTAGGAAGGAGTTATTTCGTAAATTATATTTATCTGTATAATTTTTTATATAAGTAAAGTTCTTATACCCATGCATGTATCAGGCCATAGTGGTATAGGCTATGAATTTTTCCCACCATTTTCCAATCCTATAAGAATTCCTATAGGAATTTTTATTTCCTATAGGATTTTTTTTCACCATTTTTAAATCCTATAGGAATTTTCATATAGTAATTCCTATAGGAATATTTTTTCCTATAGGAATTTTTTCACCATTTTCAATTCCTATAGGAATTCCTATAGGAATTTTCAATGCCAATAGGAATTCCTATAGGAAATTTCAATTCCTATAGGAATTCCTATAGGAATTTTCAATGCCTATAGGAATTCCTATAGGAAATTTTAATTCGATGTGGCTCCTTTTCCGTCCTTGCCCACTTCACATTTTTCATTGTCTTCAACTGTTGTAAATGAGTCTGAGGTTTTTTGTATTTTATATAATTTAGATGTTTCTAAGGCATGTGGTTTTGACAACATTAGTAACAAAATACTTATGTTATGTGCAAATGGAATTTACAAACCACTGACTCGCTTTATAAACCTTTCATTATCCACTGGTAAATATCAAAAAGGAAGAAGGAGAATAAACAATTTAAAACTAATTATCGCCCAGTTTCTTTATTAGTAGGTTTATCAAAAATGTGCGAAAAAAACTATAGCCTGTGTACAGACGTTACTCTCGACGAAGTGCGCGAGAGAACGTCTGTGAGTTGGATGAAGAGTCCTTGTTCTGGTCACGTGGATTTTCCACAGATTTGTGGAAAGGCCTCTGATTGGACAGTGCTTTATTTGAGTAATATATGACAAATGAAGATATTTCAATGGTTAATTGATAATTAGCATGCGTTTAACTTTAAAATAACAACACAATAATTTTAAATTCAGAGATTTCCTCAAGAATCAAGATTTCCTTCGGGGCATGTAGAAAGGTTTGAAAGGCTAGAAATATAATCTGTTGCGTTTAATTTTGTGCTGTATCGTAATCGAAGTTAGGAAAATCAAGATAAAATTCTAGTGTTTGGCAAAGTTTGGACACTCAGCGAACAATGCTGACAAATATTATATAAATATACAACAAACTATCGGACGGAAATTGACAATTTATAATTGACAATTAAATTTACAATCTGTTTATATGTCCCGACCCTCCGCGACAAAGCATGTCTTCTTCATGCATAACTTCGTCTTACTTGGCCAGTTAACTTTTAATTACTTTAAAATGCACCTTTTGAATAACCATGTACTAATGTGTTTATATTTAATACTTTGTCTTTGTAAACAACTATACGCCATATGAACGCCAAGAACTGAACTTATACACCGGACTCGCCGGCTATGATCGTCGTTCAGCATTGTTCGCATTCAAAACAAATCTCTTCATCGAGAAATATATGCAATATATTTCTGGTGTATCGTTTTTCAGATTATATTTCAAGTCTTTCAAACCTTTGTATGCCCCGAAGGAAATCGTGATTCTTGAGGAAATCTCTGAATTTAAAATTATTGTGTTGCTATTTTAAACGCATGCTATAATTATCAATTAACCAATGAAATATCTTCATTTGTCATATATTATTCAAATAAAGCACTGTCCAATCAGAGGCCTTTCCACAAATCTGTGGAAAATCCATGTGACCAGAACAAGGAATCTTCATCCAACTCACAGACGTTCTCTCGCGCGCTTCGTCGAGAGTAACGTCCCTGGTAACGTCTGCATGTACACAGGCTAATGAATTTCTTGATGTCACCGTTTTTTTCTATCGTTTCCAATCGGGCTTTCGACCCGGTGATTCGACAGTTTCCCAACTGGTATTAGTGGTATATATCATTCATAAAATATACCAACCTTTTGAAAAAGGTCATGAAATGGGTTGGCCGAAAATCATCTGTCTGGCTTTACCGTAGAGCCAGGAATGTGAAAGTAGAAAGGTTTCATGTCTTATCCCCAGCAGTGCATTTATGGTTCCCAGGGTGGAGTCATTTGATCCTCAGCTATACAATTACCATATGACCTAAGATATAACAACGCATTTTTCAATTTGTTTAAGGGATTAAAATTCACTTCAATTCCATCGTTATTTGAAGAGAATTTGGAAAAGTCCTCATTTAGCGGACCTAGTGAATATGCAAAAGAAACCGCCCGACAAAAGGCTTTAGAGGTTTACCATCGTGTAAAGGAGGTAAAGTCATGCATACAAGGTGTCCCGCAAAAGTGCAATAGCTATGTTTTATGGGCATCAAAAACTTAATCTAAGAGATGAATTTTTGCACTAATACTTATAATGGTAATTTTTACGAGTACAAATTATTGTTAATGGACGATACTCAATGCGCTAAACCTGAAAATTATTTAGATTTAAAATGTCTATGTTAAGCCAACCCGAAAGCTACTATTGTCTAAACAAAGGAAGACTCTATCACAGACTTTCATTATTTGCTTGCCAAACCCGTAGGCTACTGCACCCAGTATCGTTTATTAATTATTGTCCAAACCACTATGTTTGACCTATTCATAACAATAACAATGAAACTATAGTTAAACATGGGCAGATATACGAGTTAGCTTTATCTGCTTATCATTCGCACTTGGAATGCGAGCTGTAAAAGTGATTTAGAGAGTCACCCACCAACCACCCCACACTCCAGCCTTTTCGCCGATGTAACGAGGTGGTACTTGGAAGTAATTACGGTATGTTATGGCTTATGCGTGTGTTATACTTACAACATAACGTTGAAGCATATGGACAAATCATTCCCGCTCGGCACAATCTTACCACAACGGCTATGGAGTGACATTGAATTCTTGGGAACATTGAACAATATTCAGACCTATATATAAATATTATCTCCGTTGAATATTAAAAGCTTATAAACATTCACTAGACTGTTATATCAATGTTTATTACTATTTATTTAATAAAATACTAAATAAAGAAAATGAAGTGTTTGAGGCAATTGCTCTAGTATGAGGTGGCAATTTTGCCATGGACCTCACGTTTTCTTTACGGAATTTGGCAACCTGGCATAAAGCCAATTCCTATTTACAAAAATCACTCTATTTCTGCATATGAGTATATATATATATATATATATATATATATATATATATATATATATATATATATATATATATATATATATATATATTGAATATTTGAACCCTACAACCCGTGTCTCACAATGAGTACTATACAACTTATGGATGTAGAGTACAGTACTTGTACAGTACTTGAATTTTAAAGTGCCTATGACATGAAATTTCACCCCAAATGTTTATGGTTGCATTGAAAAGATCACTTAAAATGACTTAATAATTTCTTTTATAGAATTTTGGTAACTTGCTTCCTTTGCAAGATATTCAACTTTGTTTCATATGCAAATATCACCGGTGTGACATCACATCGCATAATGACATTTTGAAAACGCAATATTTTACCTGGATAAAATATTTTTACAAACAAATACAAAGGGTTAATTACCAGTTATGACATTAATACATATACAAGGGCAATTTTTATGTTTTTTAGATACGTATTCGTGAAGAAAACTATACTTTTCTGAAAACTCATTATGTGATGTGATGTCACACCGGTGATATTTGCATATGAAACAATGTTGAATATCTTGAAAAGGGAGCAAGTTACCAAAATTTTATAAAAGAAATTATTAAGTCATTTTAAGTGATCTTTACAATGCAACCATAAACCTTTGGGGTGATATTTCGTGTCATAGGCACTTTAAACCATGCATGGCCAGCTAGAACAATATGTTCAGGCACAGATTTAGCACAAACGCATTAAGTTGGTTTAATTTTTTTTTGGTTTCAGACTGCTCAGCCCCACCTTGTTGTTGCTGTGGATACAGTTGTTGTAAGTACAATGTTTTGTCAAAATTGAAGGTTTGATGTGTTGTTTTTTTTTGTCCCAAATATCTATTTTTATTGGCAAGTACAGTATTGGTGAGTACAATATCTTTCTGTTTCAAACACGTCAGCGTATTTTGTAGCTATAAGTGCGCTTGTCGATCTGCAGTCGTCATAGGTCTTGTTCGTTATTACATACTGTAGTTGCCAAAATTTGCTAATATGCAAATTTTTCTTCCTGATGAAATTTCAATTTCTTCTAAGCATCACACATCGCTAGCTTGCTAAATATAGCAGCGGTGTATCACTTCAAAAAATCTCGTACACCTCAAAAGAAATCCGTAAAAAATGCTTATAAAATCTCTAAAAATCCCCACAAATCCCGAAAAATATCTCGAGAGAAAAAAATCACGGAGGAGTCCCATGAGATTTTCGAGATTCCAAAAATCTCGTACACTTTTTTGGCGTGATTTTGGAGTGATACACCCAGACACCCTATACATACCTAGAGTATGAATTTCGGAAACTCATTGTTGTATAGTCAAAAGTACTGATGTCTAATCTTTTAAATCTTTTTGCCATTTTGTACAAAAAATCTCGAAAAAAATATTTTAAAATGTTCTAAAATTTAAAAATGATCATGTTCCCATGGCAATACTTGGTGCACACCAAGAGCCTGCGTTCAGTGTTGGGCCAATTAACAAATACTTCATGTTAAATCGCCATGTTTGGAAAACATTGGCGAGGGGTTCCTGTATACATGTTTTTCATGCATGATATAACATTATATAATAACTACAGTGAAACACGGCAGGATCAGACAATCCTGCATGGGAAATTCTGAACAGAAATTCTTGCACATAATTTTACAAATTATACTCGCATTGTAAAGTTTCATTGTACGATACCTTTCGACTTTGAAGTAAGTTTGCAATTATTGAGACGTCAGTTTAGTTGTATGAATAAATTTCTGATCGATACATTGCTGTTCAGCAAGTAGCAACGCGTAGCGTTGAAATTCATCGCACCATGGCAAGTACAACATCTCTCGCTTCAAACTTCAAAGTTCAAACGCTTCGCAATCTTCAAGTATTCAGGTCGAGAATCTTCAAAACTACTTTGGCTCTCTGTTTAGCGGGGTTTCCATTTCAAATTTCGTATATTTTATCGAAAAAGTCTCTGTATTTTCGCTGTATATTTTCGCGAATTTGCGATCAAATTCTGTTCACATTTGTTGTTGTTTTCAATAGCGTGGAGTAGCGATTCTCCGATTGGTTAATTCACGATTGTTGTGAGAACTGCACATTTCATCAGTAATTATAATCAAATTAACCGTCGTTGCACTGTAGTAATTTTATAAAACAATTACCAAATGGTTTTCCCGTGCCGGATAGCATGATCCATGCACTTGGGATGTTGCTCGACTTTCGGAAAGCGTAATAATACACTCGCCTATGGCTCGTGTATTTTCACGTTTTCCGAAAGTCTCGCAACATCCCGCGTGCATGGATCACGCAATCCTGCACGGAAACCATTCGGTATTCCTTTATAACTTGTCGGCGGAGATATGCAGTTTCCGAGTGGCTAAAGTGAACTAAACCTCGCAATGGCGATAAAAAAACTAGTGGAAAAAAGATGAGCGTAGTAGCCTTTTCCCAAAATATATCGCAGTGCATGCTGGGATCGTTTGGAGGGACAAAATATACGGCGGCAGGCGTCAAATATGTGAAAGAGTGAAGTATGTATCTGCTATCAAATATCAACTTTTTATACGACCAAAAATGAAATATCTCCTTTTTACATTAAACATTTAATTTAAATGCGTGCTGCCATATTTCTTGTCCCTCCAACATGGGATTCGCGCGACTAGACCCAGGACTTTGGGAAATGGCTAATTGATATATGTTATACATACATGCATAAAAATCCTTTTATCAGGCCTAGATGCTTCTATAAATTCATTTATGCTCATATATACAAATAAAATATCCGCGTGGTATCTTTAAACGATACTCGTCCCCTTTTTTAATTGGGTTCTTAGAATACCCGGTGTTATGTGACTTGGGAGACCTCTGGGCTATATAGTATATACATGTATATAGGGGTCAGTGGACACGCCAAGAGATTTTGTTTATAGCTTGTAAGTAATATTTGGATATGTTGTCGAACTATTAAAGCACTATTTTAACATGTACAAAGACTTAACACCTTGTGGATATATCACTTCCTTGCGTTTAAAGGTAATGTCTGTGTAGTAGCTATAGAAAGGTCTTTAAATATTTACATATCTTCAATCATTAAATTGGCAGTTAATAATTTAGCAAGTTGGGGTTATTACAGATGAGGGTTGTTACATAATTATATATTAGCTACAGTAATATTTTCAAAATGAAAAACGAAACAAAATGAAAACCTCAGAACGAAAAACGTTTGCTAATAAGAATAAGAATAAGAATAAGAATAACAGCATAACTATTTACCTCGTTTCATAGAATTTGGATTTATTCAGTTTGCAGACGAGAAAATTATCGAGAAGCCAAAAGATGAAAAAGATGCCTTTCAGATGATTAAGAGGTATTATGGTTGGCAAGGCTGTTAAACAAAGGTTTGAACACAAAAATAGGTACGCTAAGCGCCTATGTGACGTCACGCCATCTATTAAGACCAGGCAGTTTTTTTAGTAATCAATTTTCCTGTTTCAGTTTCAGTGGTAGAACACATTCAGTACACAGTGGTGTAGCGCTTCTGAAACCAAATACTAGCAAGTCGGACGAAGGTGAGTCTTACAATTACTCAAGATGGATAATATATTAATATGCAGTATTATATAACACGTCATTAAATTCTGGTCATTTAATTAGCTTATGATCACGTGATATGGATTTAAAATTCCCGTTTTGCTACCGCGCAATAGCACGAGTGCTATTACACGGTAGGATTTAATTAAATTCAATCATTCAAAATCCTATTCGTATCGTAATCGTAGCTCATTTAACTATCATTTTCATACTGAGACCGATGGAATTAAATTCAAATACATAACTTGTGCGAAGGAGAATGGCGGGCGTAAAAATACAATATTTTTACAATAATTTTTACGATAAATGACCGTCAACGGTCATAATATTAAGGTGATTCATCAGTAATTGTTCTGGAAATGAGAATTTGCTGAACTGACTTCCCAGGGATGAAGTTTATGATATGCTTATACATATAGTAAAAACAGGGAAAACAACACCTTTTTCCCCATATGGCGCCATTTTGACCCTTTTACAGGAACAATCGCTCAACCGTTATTGATTTTTTTAACAAGGATCCTACTAAAAATGTCTATATAGTGATTACATACAAGAAAACATGGTATTTTAGCGAATCAAAAACCACTGACGTGCATTGTCGTCGTGCAAATGTGTCTTTTCCCATCTTCACAGACATGTTATTTTGGGAAATATTATTTTGGGAAACATGCGCGAAAAATTTAAAATAGTATAAGTTGTAGAAATGATTTTTCTCTTATTTTCTTATGACATGTAATCAAATCAAATCAATTTATTCGCCAATAATTAACAAAATAATTTACACAGAATGAATAAAATAAATAAAGGCAAAGTAGCCCAAAAGAAACCAAAAGGCTTATTTACATTGGGCTCCTTTGTTAATACAAAAACGTATGGAAGAACAAAAATATAAAATAAAAAAGTAAGGTCACGTATACCTTCTTAAACTGAGAGATACAAGTGTTAAACATGCAACACGATGTGGTTTAGTGTTAGTTGAACAGGGAGCCCTAGCCAGAGTTTTTGAAGGTATATTTCCTAAAGTACACCTAATCAATGCAGAGTGTTTTTCTCTTTGACCTTACTCTTTCTTTATCACTTTACATTTCAGTTCGACTACAAATATTAGCTAGAATTTGTTATTAGATATGCGCAGTAAAAGTGCGCAATGCAAAACTGATGAATCACCTTAATTCTTCACTAAAACATTTGTTGGCACTTTTTGTTGGATTTTAATTATTTTTGACCAAGGTATGTATTTGTTTTGTATTTAGTTAACTTAAAATTTGATAAAATTGATCTATATTCAGTATTTTGGTGTCATATAAAACAAATATTGAATTGTTCCGTTCGTGCAATAGGAAAAATATTTTCATTCGGTGAAAGATGGAATTTTCCATTCCATCTTTCACATCATGAAAAGATTTTTACCATCGCACTCGTAAACATTCATTATTTGTATAACATTCCTCGATTTTTGGACCACCGCGTGTGGACGTCGTCAAATAAATAGGCACGAAGAATGAACTTTGATACTCCATTACTGTAATACCAGTTCATTGTACGAAATACAGTAGCCATGATATTTCCGATTGATGTGTTTTCCCATAAATTATAGTCTGAACGAGTTTGAGAAATATTTATTTCATGCGCGAAAGAAGTGCGAGTTTTACGTAGCTAGTTCATTTGAGCTTTTTTCTTTTTAATAATTTTAGGTAAACATCATTTAAACATGTCAATTTGTCTTCATGTATTTCAGAACATTATTCTATACTTCAGTTTGATGAAGTAACAAAAGTTACATTTGGTTCGTTAACAGATGAAATAATTAAGACCTACGTTGCGACCAAAGAGCCTCTGTAAGTTGTGTATAGAGATGTTGCCAGTTAGTTTTTAACTTGACTAGGGACCGGTCATTATTTATGTCGAGAGGTGGCACTGAAGAGAAATGTTTTTCTTGGTAAAAATTTTGCTGATCCAACCATTAAAAAGTCAAAATCTTTTTTACCCAACCTCAAATGTCAATGAAAAACAAATACATCCCCCTGGCCAAAAACGTTACAAAAAGATACCATCCAGTTTGTCCTCCTTTATCACTTTTGTGATATGAGTTTAATAACTGCTCGAGCAATTTTCCTGACCGGTCCCCTAGATCCCAGAAAGGATGCTGGGAATTGTTTCCGACCCGCTTTTTCATATATCGGAAAATCCGAACACAAAGGGATCTCCAATCACCATTGCATGATAACACAAAATATCAAGTGTGACCTAAACCTAGAATCACTGATCAGAAATTGTTGTATCAGCCATTGATCTTCTATTTCAGGAAAAATGAAAATAACGCTTAGATTATATTAAAGGGAAATGGCAATATATTTTTTTTATTTTCTCATTTGAAAGAACTTTTAAGACTATATATAATACTCTTTTACCGTTTTTTCTTATCTTGCTTACTTCTACAAATATTTTGATCGAAAGGAATGAAATGTCCGCGCCATCTTCAATTTTTTTAGATATGCATGTCACGTCACAACAGGGGTCACGCATTATTTTTATCTAGACAACCACTAATCATTTTGTACTCAAAACTATACTCTGCCCTTCGAAATATCAAGATCACTCAAAACCTTTAAAACATCTACCAATCCATGTGGTTAATCCCTTATATGGTTAATCCCTGTTGTGACGTCACCAAAACTACCGTTAATGAGATCAAAAATTTATCCAGGATGGTGGAAGTAGTATAACACCCCCCCCCCCCCTATGGCTACGAAAGTAATTAGTATTCAGGTGGAGAGAGATAGCACTGGAAGTGACGTCATAAGGTGCGAGCGTATGCTCGAGCGGGGTATGATCACTGAGCTATACTATATTACTGGAGGACGTGCTCGGGATAAAAAAGTGAAGCCAAAAACATGGCGGATTTTCACGCCATTTCCATGGCAACTGGTTCCTTTTGGCCATGAAAATACCACTGACCAGGCTCATTTCTGAGCCCACTACAGTTTTCACACCCCCTGTTTTTTTCAAAAATATTCATAGGTTTTTCGAGTTTTTGCAGGGAATTTTCGTTGTTTTTGATATTTTTACATATTTTTCGACCTGCGACCATCTATTCAAAAAAGTACAAGTCGTAAACGTCCGGGAAAGACAACAAACGCCTTGCAAAATGTTGGCATTGACGATATTTGAAGCAGGCGCAGCTATTACAGTACAGCCAGGTAAAAATACTATTGAAAAACAATATAATATGCATTTATTTTTCAGCATGAGAAGCTTTGTACAATATAGTGAATATTTTAGCCACGATTAAGTCTTGTCGTACAAATGTAGAGATATTTCACCACACTTCCTCCGACAAACGGCAAACGCAAAGGGTTCAAATTTAACATGCTTGAATTTCATACTATTCAGATTTGCTGGGTATAAACTTTTTTGTATCAAAGAAGAGTATAAACTGAGTATAAACTTTTATTTATCTGGCAGATTTGCTGAGTAGAAACTTTTATTTACAGGTGTGAAGACATGCATGAAACTACTATGTGCTACTATCTTTAAAAGAGGGATTTAGGATGTCAAAGAAATCAGTGTTTTGTCAAGAAACTTATGTACCAACTTAACATCATGTCATATAAAGCTGAGGCCTCTTTTCCATTCATTGCAAGAGCAACATAACCTTTGCTAGTGTTTTCAACCAATCGTCATTCTCCCCCACTTTACATGGAAGCATGGAATCATTCACAGTGAACTTGATTTTGGCGATAAGTTGAAAGTGGCATGAGGGTGCTGAAAGGGTGCCGGGAGAAGCCGACATGGTGCTGTGGGCACTTGACCTGGTAACACAATTTTTACCTAGGTTTCTGGGCAATGGTGTGTTGGCTTGATAATTTCTGTTCTTGATTATTGTGTGCCAGTGTGCAGTTGATAGTAAGTAAGATAGTTTGTAGGGGTCCACTCACCACTGGATCTCAGTTTAGGTTAAAACCTGGAAAATATATGCCAGGCAGATTATAAATTGTACTATATATAAATTGTATTATATAGGAATGGCTATAAATATGGCTATAAATTGTCAAATAGAATCACTTCCAGCTCTGGCTGAAATTTTTGTTCAGTTACTGGTCAACTGAACTCTGCTCCAAACTTGAATTAAACAATTCATGTTGGTTCTTATCTCAGCAACTGTGCAGCAACTGAGATACTCACATATCAGATGCTCCCATATAAAATTTGCAGGCTTGAGTGTACAATGTACATAGCCATTTGAAAAAATGAGAATCAATTTGTACATTTTGAACAAAGACTTACTTAAATCCTGGTAGTTGCATCATACATCAAAACCTGCAATAAAGCTTTGAGTTTGCTACTGTAATCTCCCTGTTAAACCTCACCCCCCCCCCACTCTAATACCCCCCCCACCCCTCCCCCAATATAGATGAAAAAATTGTTGAGCCCCCTCTCTATTAAACATTCTTTATTAAGACATCATTTATCACACAAAGACATGTTTTGGTGAGATTTATTTATTTTCTGGCTCACACAAAACACAATTGTATTGTGCTTGCAGGGCTGTGCCAACCGATACATCTTTGGGAGGGTGAATACAGAACAGAACTTTGGGCCCCTTCGCCTTTTGGGTCCCCAAAAGTATTTGCAAAATTTTGGCGAGGGGGTAATTGTTTCTTCTCCCAAACCGTTGTTTGCAAAAAAGGTTAATTAAAATTTTTTCAGCATAACCTTTATAGAATTGGCCTCAATTTTGCACAACATTTCCAAAAAATTCACATGTTTGGCAATTCCAGCATTTGGGCATTTTATTATTATTTATAACAACTTCTTTATTTATGGAGGGTAG